TGAGGAGTTGGAGTCCTCAGAGGAGCTGTCCTCTGAGGACGAAACCCTACCGCTACCTAGGGGAGACATAACCGGGGAAGGAAAAAGAGATAAGAAAAGGGCTTACTTGACTCGGAGGGCTGGAAGACGAGAGAAGGAAGCTTGACCGGTGAAAGCTCTGAGGAACTGAATTGCGAAATGTGAACAAGTGAGAGGGTTGAGGGCCTTTATATAGGAGAGGGGAGGCCAAAAGTAGGCGACGTGGCGCCTTGAGATTGCGCCACAACGGGCGGCGCAATGATGGTACTTGGCAGACGAAACGACGTGTGGGTAGCCGACCGTTGCAACGGCTGGTGTCCGACACGTGGCGAGTTCTTTCAAACTTGAAATTCAAATTTGTTGAATTTTTCAAGCGGGAAGAGCCAAAAATTCGAATTTAGAGTCCAACTTCAGACTTTTTACTTCCCGCTTATGACAAAATTGCATAACTGAGAAGTGGAGGGCTTAATGATGGGTGTATTTCACTCATGACCGGTCAAAGGTCAAGACCGGATAGTTGACCGGTCAAAGAAGTCAAACTTGCAAGAGAGGTCTGGATCGTCGGCGAAGGGATGATTGGTTGACCAAAAGGTTTACCGGTATACTTCGGATAGTATACCGGTCAAACTATACCGGCGTCTAATTCACCCTACGAAGTTGGCCACGCCAACCTACAAGAACCAACCGGTGCAGTTCCTAGAGATTGGGGAAGTGTCGGCAGGAGGAATCCAAAAGGATTTGGACTGTAGTGTTTGGAATTGCAGGGATGCTGAGGGAATATTTCCAAACCAGAACGCGACAAGGGCGCCACCCCCCGCGCAAGATGACAAGGCAGCTCAGAGCCAGTCACTTCACACCACGCCAGCAGCATGCCCCCACGTGGGCGCACGTGGTCCTGCCCCCCAGCCTAATATATATACCTCTTGTAACCCTCGAATAAGGGGATCCGAATTCACTCTCTCTAAACTCCCTTGTAAAAGTGACCGTGTATTCTCTATTCTAATATAATTCGGGCTACAGGTGTTCCACCTAAAGTCCTACCGGTCATTCTGAGTGTTTTCACTTTCTTTACTTTACTGAATCAAGCCAACTATTTTAGACCCGGTCTAATATATTTTGACCGGTCAAGTAATTTACACCATCAGTTTCAAATAAATTTTTTCATTTGTTATAAAATAAGTACTATATACGAAATGGTTTTCATTTTTTTAAAATCAATCTCAATCAATAAATTTATTTTTTTCTTATATTACTTGCCATTCAAAGACAAAAATTTAATTTGAGGGGTAATAAAGAATTTTACTACTATACACCCTTTTATTGTAAGAACATGAAGTGCATGCCACCGTGCTGGAAATAAGTAGCCTACGATGGACCGTGTTAACCACCCTCACCCTTGCTACCAACCTTGCCTCCACCCATTTCTCCACCACATATTTATCTCTATCCATTCTCCACTCACCCTCTAATTTTAATTTTCTTGCCTCCTTACCACATGTTTATGTAGGGGGGGCATGGTTGATAGCAAGGGTGAGGGATTTTTAGCATTTCCCGCCTATGATAGGGAAAAGATGATGGAAACGTTGGTGTAACTAAAACTGAGATTTGTTTAGAGTGGGTAATTTTGGTGAAATTTGGATGCATGTTTTTTAATTTATTGACGTGGGTTTTCAATGTCAAACATTATGGTATAACCCTAGCCAATTTTAGAAAATTTGCATTTCGTTTGTCTATGCCCGTTTCATGCGACATTAGTCACCCATACCCGAGGATCTTACGATATTCTCTTCAAAAAATTACTAGTTCCTTAGATTCCTCCGATCTCTAACTCGTACTAAACCCCTCTCCCTACACCTCTCGTCCCCCTCTCATTCACCAATTGACTACAGCGATTGTTGTGGCCAAGCGGCGAAGTGGGATGGGGAGGAAGGTAGGGGTGGTGTCAGGTGGTGCAAAATGTGTAAGAATTATCGTTTTTTTCGAATAGAGCACCGTAGGAATGCTAGATCATTCAATGACATTGGTTACAAATGTCACTTGAATCATTTCGTTTTGTCATTAGGAACCAATGTCATGAGATGATCTAAAGGTGCTCCGGTGTCCCGTTCATAAAATTGATGGTTTTTCCTCCTGATCCCCCAGTAAACCCCCACCCCGCCCGACCCAAACACGCCCCCCCTTCAATTACACCCCCAAGTTGATTTTGACTTTGGAGTCAAAATTTGATGTTCTTTTTTAATATGTAATTTGTATTTATTATCAATATATCAATTTATAAATAAAATGATTTTAAAAAGTATAATGTTTCTAATTGAAAATCACAATTTGTAATCAAATTGGAGACGAAGGAAGTACAATAAATCATACAATAAAATTTCTTTGGATGATACTTTAATTATATGATTTTTAATACTTTATTTTTTTTCAACTCTTTAGATATGTTAGCCACCATCGACTGATCCAGTCCGGTCCTCCACCCTCCGCCGTTTCCCCGCAAACGCCTCTCGCAGATGAACACAAATAAACGGCGAACAAAATACTAAAAAAGAACCATAATTTCCGTTTCTCTCTCGCCATGCCGTGGTTTAGGAATCTGATCCATCTCCCGATCGCCACCGCCTGCAAAAGATCACCATCGTATAAGGCGGTGTTCCCAGCGGCGTCGCCGCCGCCGCCGTCTCTGACCCAGATTTTGCTGTTCAGCACACAAGCTGCCTCGCCCACGGCGGCGGAGTCTGGGGCAAGGCGGCGTACTGGTGGTGGGGTAGGGCAAGCGGGACTGGGGCCGACGAAGGGGGATGAGAAACCCAGAGTGGTGGTGCTGGGGACCGGGTGGGCTGGGTGTCGGCTGATGAAGGGTATCGACACCAGCATATACGACATCGTTTGCGTGTCGCCGAGGAACCACATGGTATTCACTCCTCTTCTCGCCTCCACCTGCGTCGGCACCCTGGAGTTCCGGTCGGTTGCTGAGCCTATTGGGCGGATCCAATCCGCCATTTCCCGGGAACCCAATTCTTATTTCTTCCTGGCTAACTGTTCTGGAATTGATTTCAACAACCACGTGGTATGCTCATCTTCCTCCCAAGATTGATCTGCTCTGGAATTTTAAGATCTCAATTTTAAGATATGAACTGCTCTTGAATTGATTTCACCTTTGAACTCAATCTTTTTTTGTCCAAGTCTTTCACATTACTGTGTATGTGATCAATCATTTGATACCTTAGTTCACTGTTGAATTTCATATGCCATTTGGATGACCCAAGATTTCTTTTACAGATAAACTGCCAAACGGTTACAGATGGAGTGGAGACGTTAGATCCATGGAGGTTCAGTATTGCGTATGACAAGTTGGTTGTGGCTGCCGGAGCCAAAGCCTTAACATTTGGGATAAAGGGTGTGGAGGAGCACGCTATCTTTCTCCGGGAAGTTCACCATGCCCAAGAAATAAGGAGAAAACTCCTACTGAACCTCATGCTTTCTGATGTGCCTGGTCTGGTTGCATTTTGCCTTGCACTTATATACTTGCATTCAGTTCTTGAAGGATAGAGAACTCAGGTTATTATTGGTGACATTTGACTTTTGAGCTCAAATATGGCAGGAGTTAGTGAAGAAGAAAAGCGCAGACTCCTACATTGTGTTGTGGTGGGAGGTGGCCCCACTGGAGTTGAGTTCAGCGGGGAACTCAGCGACTTCATCAAGAGGGATGTTCATCAAAGATATGCTCATGTCAAAGATTACATTCACGTCACATTAATCGAGGCAAGCTCTTCTTGTTCTAATCATGTTTCGTTCTTCATTGCAATATGATCGATTTGAGTTTGGATGGGGGTGTGTTAGTAAGTTGTAAATGACTTTTAGTATTCATTTTTACAGGCAAATGAGATATTGTCTTCCTTTGATGACCGTCTTCGTACTTATGCCACCAAACAATTGACCAAGGTGAGATTGAGTGATTGCCAAGTGCTAATACATGTACTTATTATCCTCTTTCCAGAAAACTCCAAAACCAAACAAGTTCTTTAGAAAATGGAAAGTAAAAGTTAAAAAACTATTTCCAAGCCAAACATGTTAAAATGACAAATTTTCATTTTAGTCAGGAGTTCGTCTAGTACGTGGTGTGGTAAAAGATGTGCTGGCTGAGAAGATAATTCTGAGTGATGGCACGGAGGTACCTTATGGCTTGTTAGTGTGGTCTACTGGAGTTGGACCCTCTTCATTTGTCGAATCTCTCAATATTCCCAAAGTCCGTGGAAGGTATAGTAAATAGACAGTTTTACCCCTTATGCATTATATTTTCCGGGTTTTTATCAGATGAAAAACGTAATTCATCAACAGGATAGGGATTGATGAATGGCTACGTGCCCCTAGTGTGGAGGATGTATTTGCAATTGGGGACTGCTCGGGCTTCCTTGAAACTACAGGCAAGCCGGTGCTTCCAGCTTTGGCTCAGGTAAAAACCATTTTTCTTTTTTTTACTATAGAGAATAAAGTAAACACAGAACAGTAAAAACACCTCACTCATCAATATATCAACACAAGCTTTGCTTTATGAATGGTTAATCAGGTTGCAGAGCGACAAGGGAAATATCTTGCGACACTATTGAACAGAGTTGGGAAAGCTGGTGGTGGGAAAGCGAGCGCTGCAAAGGACATCAACCTTGGGGATCAGTTTGTTTACAGACACTTGGGCAGCATGGCTACGATTGGTCGCTATAAGGCTCTAGTTGACCTCAGGCAGAGCAAGGAGGGGAAAGGGGTGTCCATCGCAGGATTCACCAGTTGGTTCATTTGGAGATCGGCTTATCTGACTCGAGTCATCAGCTGGAGGAACAGATTCTATGTGGCCATCAACTGGCTGACCACTTTTGTTTTTGGCCGTGATATTAGTCGGATTTAGATGAAAATGAGCTACGTGTCCTCACAAATAAAATCCTTCTTCATACATAGTGCAGTGTTACTTTGCAGATGAAGAGAAACTTGTTTATATTGTTGTTTTAAACCTTACTTTGAACTACCACAGTAAAGAATTCAATTCAATAAGCAAAACCCAATGTCAATTTCACATTTTTATGGCAAATTGTCTACAACAAGCATGGCCAAATAGAATCTCTAACAGAAACTGATAGATCAACACAAGCTGTTGCTTTCACCTGCCATTTCAGGCCAACTTCAGTATTTAGATTTTTTTTGGGGTTTACTAATGTATATACATCTACCATTTAAGTTGAATCAAAGAGGAACTGCATTACTGTAAACGACCATTACTTAGTATATTGTTGAAGAAGACTGTCTGATATCTAATCTGCAGATTTCATCAAAGTATTGGGGAATTTGCAGCATCAGCGGAATTCTTTGCGTCTCCATTGCCCAAATAAATCGGGCATGTTCATTGCTGGACTGTTCAGAGAGGCATGATCATTGCCATTTGCTCTCTGAGTGGCTGAAGGGATCACAGCTGCTGGCCTTACCCTCTGATCATGAACACCAATTGTAGCTTGTGGCACGACAGCAGCAGAAGAGGATGGGCCAGAATTTTCTGGATTCCTGTTGTTCCTATATTGAACAGGGCGACGAAGCTGTTTGAGACCATGGGCAAAGGAACAGAATGCTCTCTTGCAGCGTGGCCTGTACTTGCAGAGTTTGGTTCGGAATCGGTCTGGGTGATGCTGCTGGGCCCTTATGATTGTATATTGATCAGGGGGACGAAGCTCTTCGCGACTGTGGGCAAAGGAACAGAACACTCTCTCGCAGTGTGACCCGTAATTGCAGAGTCTGGTTTGGAATCGGTCTGGGTGATACCAGGTCTCCGAAACCCCATGGGAGTAGTGACAATTGTCTCCCCGCGGGCACACCCGGCGGCGCCCGTGGTAATAGCGACAGGGAATGTGCCGGTATGAGTGAATGTTCGGGTCCCGCCTTCTTTTCCCCTCCTCAGGGTGATAAAAGGGGCAGCGCAACCAGCTGTGGCGGCGTCCTACGGTACAGCGCTTCACCTTGTATGTGTATGCCAAGCTATCTAACTCCTCCCCTTCCATAGCTCTTGTATGAATGTGTGGCTGTAAGAAAAGCCTTCTCTGTCTGATCTGCAGGATTAATGTGTGTGTATGATTTCAAAGAATAATTAACAGAGATTGCAGACAGCCTTAAAAGTTCAATTTTTGATCAAGAAGTCTCGTCTGGAACTCAAGAAAGGGTGAATTCTGCAGGCATGGCGCTTAATTTATGTGATTACGTGAACTTTAACTCAAAGGGTTCTGGTTTTTATTGAAGAAAGTAGAAATCTTTATCAAGAAGTCCCATCTGGAAATCAAGAAAGTGTGGAACTTGCAAGCCTAGCGGGTAAATTACAGGATTACATGAACTTTTAAACCAAAGGGATCTTTTTTCCATCCGAAGAGTGCATAAAGATACTGGGAATTGGGTACCTGAACTGGATGGAATTGTGCGGAGAAGAAGACTTGGAAGGTTGGCGAAGAACAACCAAATGACAAGAAATCCAGCTGCTTATAAATTCCAGTTATCTGATGAGCCTGAATTCAAAGAGTGAACATAGATTAGAGTCAAGAAAGTAGAAGTTATGAAGAGGAAATCTTGTGGGAAATCAAGAAAATGTGAATCGTGAAAACTTGCATTTGATTTACGGGGAATATAACTTAAAGGGAATCAAAGAGTGCATGGAGAAATCAAGAAGAGAAAGGGGAGAGTGGATACCTGAACTGGAACAGAGCATGGAAGAAGAAGAAGAAGGAGAAGAAGGAGAAGAAGAAGAAGGGGAAGAATAAATAGAGACGGAAGAAGGCGCAATAACGGAAATTCCCGCGCCCAAGAGTTAAAATGTTAGTTAAATTACTTCTTTTTCCTTTGGTCGCGAATTATAGTTCCACATTTAACCAGAAAGGTTGTTAAAAAAATTAAATTGAATCGTTGAGAAATAATGTAATTTCTTTTTTGAAAAAAGATGTAATGTAAATAATATATTCACTTTTTTTAATAAAACATTTTTTTAGGCAAAAATTTTTTCACACGATGAAAATAGTATCAATTCAATTTACATTGCATATTAATAAAATAATATTAATTCTTAAAAGCTTTTAATGATAAATCTAATTAAATTACTTTTATGTTAATATACAACTTAATTTTAAAATAATAACATAATTAAATATAAAATTTAACTTTAAAAAAGTCAAACTGAACCAACAGACTCGTTGATATGCAGTATAAACATTTTATTAAAAATTTTATATAATTCATTAAATAAATGGAATTAATAAATAAATTCCATTTGAGAAAGTAGAATTGTCCAAGTCTAAACCAAAGGTTTCATCAATTTCTTACTTTATTTATTTACTTTCATTGATCATTTTATAAAATAATACTCCGTATAGTTTTGTCACATCTATTTTATAGAATTTTTTATATAGATTTTACTACATAAATTGTTTTTTAACTTTACATTTACAATCAATCAACTTAATATAAAAATAAAATTGGTCAAACATCGTATCGCGTAATGAGAATGTCACTTTCGGACTGATAGACTATAGAGAACTAGCTAAAGGACTAATTACATAAAGAGGAAACCTATAAGGGAATTCACCGAAACGGTACCAAAACATAATGATTTTTCCAATGTAGTATCATATGTTTTTATTTCAGTATTTCACAATATAGTACCACTGGTCAATGTTATTGGTCATTGTTCAAGTAAATGTCAAACGTTATTGGACATTATTTAAACTAAATATTCATCATCACACTGAACATTATTTTCATCACTAGACATTTATGAACTAAAGAGTACATTGGTAAATATCTTTTAAGACCCAATACCGCTACTTTTTTTTTTTTTTTTTTGCTTCACCTGCCGCCATGGTGTTAGGAGGAAAGCCCACCTCCACTGCAACCCAATGAACCTCTGCAAGCTTATCGCCACTCGTCGCCCCGGCTCACTGTTCGCCTTCCTACTCACTCAGTAGTGGTACGGTTTCCTCCGGTCCGTCCCGATCCCGAAAAAATATCCGGTTCGCCGCCGTCCCCGACGTCATCCCCTCTGAGACCGGCCGAGCGGGAGACTTCGCGGACTTGTTCAGAGACACCCAGACAGATCTGGAAGCAATCGGTCGGTCTCTAGGAACCCAATTCTTATTTCTTCCTCGCTAACTGTTCTGAAATTGATTTCAGCAATCATGTGGTATGCTCATCTTCCACCTGCCAGGATCACTAGGGATTTCAATTTTAAGATTGATCTCCTCTGGAATTGGTCCAACCTTAAATGTTTTCTATTTTTCCACCTTATTCATGCATCACTTCTCAAATTTATCCTCTGAAGTTTGAATATAGAACACAATGAGATTTTATATTCACCAAAGATATGCTCATGTCAAAGATTATATTCATTCTTTCATTCTCATATGTGTATGATCATAGTTCATTCTTAATTGCAATATGGAGGATTAGGATTTGGATAGGCAGATGAGATTTTGTCTTCCTTTGATGACCGTCTTCGTACTTATGCCACCAAACAATTGATTAAGGTGAGATTGACTGATTACTAGGATGTCTTTAGTATGTGAAGCACACCTACTTATAATCCTTTCTTTGGAAACCCCACAACCAAACAAGTTCTTAGGGAAGTAAAAAGTGAAAACCATTCCCAAGCAAGATTTTTTAATCCATGTTATAATGGCACAACTTCATTTTGGTCAGCAGTTCGTCTGGTTCGTGGTGGGGTATTAGTAGGATTTAGAGAAAAATAAGCTAGGCATGTCCTTACAAGTAAACTCCTTCATACATAGTGCAGTGCTACTTTGCAGATGAAGAGAAACTTGTTTATATTGTGTTTTAAACCCCATTTTAATTTAAACCTTAGTTTGAACTACCACAATGTCGATTCTAAGCATTGTAAAGAATTCATCTTGGAGTATTACAATAGTTTTGAACTACCCATTGTAAAGAATTCAACTCTAAGCAGAACCACAATGTCGATTTCACATTTTTATGGCAAATTGCCTACAACAAGCAAGCCGAAAATAGAATCTGTAAAAGAAACTGAGAGATCAACACAAGTTGTTGCTTTCACCTGCCATTTCACGCCAACTTCAGCATTTAGATTTTTTTTGGGTTTACTAATGTATATACATCTACCATTTTTTTTGTTAAAGAAGATTGTCTGACATCTGATCTGCAGATTTCAAAGTATTGGGAATTTTGCAGCATCAATGAAGTCCAGCAGTGAAATGATCATCTTCATTTGCTCTCTGCTGAATGGCTGAAGGAAGGAAGGTGACAACAGGTGGCCTTATGGTCTGATGATCATCAACGCGATTCATAGCTTGTGGCGCTACAGCAGCAGAAGAGGGCGAGGCATAATAGTCATTCACATTCCTATTATTAATCTGCAGCCCCCTTATGATCCAATCATGGAGTGGAAGATTAGTCTGCACCACACAAGCAGAAGAGGATGAGGCATTATAATCATTCGTGTTCCTGTCAATCCCTGGCCCCTCTATGGTCCAATCATAGAGAGGAAGATAACGCTGCACAGCAGGAGCAAAAGAGGGTGAGGCATCAAAATCATTTGTATTCCCATTATCAATCCGCGACCTCCTTATGATTCGGTCATGGAGAGGGACATTATGCTGCACCATAGGAGGAGAAGTGGTGGTGGTGGAAGGGGACGGAGCTGTTCTATGGTGTGGGCAAAGGTACAGAACCTTTTCATGCACTTTAACCCATCGCAGCAGTATTGGGTCCGGAACACGTCCGGATGATACCCAACCTCCAAATCTCCATGAGCGAATGTGCAAGCATCTGCCCGCGGGCACCTCCCCTTGCGCCCGTGATAGTCGCGACAGCGAATGGGCTTGTAGTGGTACACTCTCGGGTCTCACCTTCTTTCGTCTTTCCCTTCGTGATAAAATGAACAGTACTTCCAGTTGTGACGGTATCCTATGTTACAGTCCTGCACCTTAAATGTGTATGCCAATTTGGACCCCATGGCTAATATGTCTCTGTCTGATCTGCAGGATTAATGTGTATGAATTCAAAGAATCAACAGAGATTACAGATAGCCTCGAAAGTACAAATCTTTATCAGGAAGTCTCATCTGGAAATCAAGAAAGTGCGAGACTTGCAAGCCTAGCGTGTAAATTACAGGATTACATGAACTTTCAATCCAAAGGGATCTTTTTGGTTTCTCCCGAAGAATGCATAAAGAAATGAAGATACGGGGGAATGGATACCTGAACTGGATGGAATGGTTGGCTATGAACGACCCAGTGAAAGGAAATTCCAGTTGCCTATAAGTTCAAAGAAAGTACAGATTTTGAACAAGAAAGTACAGATTTTGAACAAGAAATCTCGTCTGGAAATCAAGAAAGTGTGAATCCTGCAAACTTGGCGTTTGATTTACTGGAAATATCTCTAAGGGTTCTTTTCTTGTGGAAGAATGCATAGAGATATGAAGAGAGAGGGGAAAATGGATACCTGAAATGTAACAGAGCAGAGAAGAAAAAGATGAAGAAGGCGATGAAGAAGATGACTGCAAGGAAGCAATAACGGAAATTCCCTCCCTCTCTGTTTAGTGTTTACTGCATATTTTAAAGAGATTTGAAAGGCACGCGCTCGCGAGTAAATTGTTACCGCAGCTATACTACTCCTCCCCTCTAAAACTGAATTATAGTTAGAATTAAGAATTATACTCCATAGTCCATACATTGGAAAAATGCAATTTAAACTATACAGATTGAAGTCAAATTGAATGCACTTTTAACCTCAATTAAATAGAAAATACACTATAATTTTTGCTTGTATAAAAATGATTTTTAAAAAATTATCTTGTACTCGTATAAAATTTTAAAAATTAGATTTCATTGTATGAATAATGCAAAATAAGTTTAATGTAATGCTGATTAAAGTTTCTTTGATTTTACTCTGAATAGTTATATTGAACGAATACATAGAAACAGAAAGCATACTAGTTTTAAAATGTATAGTAATAAAAAATAAAAATTACCCTAACAACACCTTGGCCTCACGAGCATTAGCAATACAGATAAGTGTTAGCGTTTTCATAATGCTATCTGACGATACCTTCACGATAGCTTTCAGGGTTAGCATTTTCATAATTAATCTATACCAATAAATATTATAAAATATTCATACACAATGTCACATTACCACAATGCAAAATTCTATTTTGGAGATAAAAATATCGAGTTCATATTTTAATATTTTCTCTATGTTTTAATTCTTATTTAAGATGATCTTTAAGATATTTTTGTTTGAACAATTGATTTTGAATTAATCCCTCCGTCTATCAATTTATCTCTCATTTTTCTTTTTGGGTCATCCAAATTTTTTTTCCCGGTTTTGTATTTTGACAATAAAATTTTAATGAATCTCTCATTCTATTACACTTTTTGAAGAAAATTATTTGAATAAAGCTATTGGTACCCCAAGTTTTTATATCTCACTTTGTACCTCGCAGGTTTGCACCAACACTTTGTGTTGGTATAAAACTAATTTTTGTTAATGCACAAACACTTTATGTCCGTGTAAATTTTTATTAACGCACCAACACTTGTGTTGGTGTAAACCATCAAAATGTTTGTATATAACTACGATGTATAAATGATGTAGAATTTGTGGTTTAAGTGTAGCATGTCCCAAAATATTCTACAAGGTTTATTACAAGCACATTTTATGGTGGCGTACTCAAGTATGCAATGATGTTGCCTTAAACAACTTTTCCTTAAGTGAGGCATGTACAATTGAATTGATTTGTGGCCTCTTTATGTCCCCCACATTATTTATTGAAGGATTATGGTATGTGTACCTAAGATTTGTGCCCTAATTTGTACCCCGCAGTTGCACTAATATTTTGTGTTGGTGTAAAACTAATTTTTGTTAAATGCACCAACATTTGTGTCTGTGTGAATTTTTATTAACGCACCAACACTTGTGACGGTCTAAACCATCGAAATGTTTGTGCAAACCTGTGGTGTATAAATGGGGTATATTTCTTGGTGTAAGTGTAGCATCTCCTTTATTGAAACAACGAATCAAAACAAGGCGTCATCATATATATATATGGACATTTGACATTTCATTGCTTCACCGGCGGCCACCACCGTGTTCGGATTAAAGCTCTAACCGGCCGTCGTTTGAATGGACGCCCAACCCGACTGCCACGTGGTGGCGGTGCCGTACCCCGGCCGCGGCCACATCAACCCGATGATGAACCTCTGCAAGCTCATCGCCGCTCGTCGCCCCGCCACACTGTTCACCTTCGTCCTCACTCAGGAGTGGTACGGCTTCCTCCGCTCCGACCCGAGCCCGGGTAACATCCGGTTCGCCACCGTCCCCGACGTCATCCCCTCCGAGATCGGCCGAGCGAAAGACTTCGCCGGCTTCTTCAGAGCCACCCAGACCAAGCTGGCCGCGCCGGTGGAGGAGCTGATCGACGGGCTCCGGCAGCCCAAGCCGAACGTTATCATCCACGACACTTACTTGCCGTGGGTGGTGCCCCTGGGGATCCGGCGGAATATTCCGGTGGCTTCCTTTTTTCCCATGTCCGCCACCGTCTTTTCCGTGTTTCATCACTGGGATCTCCTTGTTCAGAACGGCCACACTGAAAAACCCAATCTTTCAGGCAAATTCACGACCTTTCCGTTACCCCTTTTCCACTCAATTCCATCAATTTAGTTAGATTCGCCTAATATAAAAAGAACCCTTTGTGCTTAAGCTTAATTGAGGATTAATTTACTCGTTATCTGCAGAAGTAGTGAACTATCTTCCTGGAATTGCACCAATTCAAGTCTCAGATCTTCCAACTCCTGTCTATGGCAAAGGCAAAGAATTGATGGATGAAATCCTTAAGGCCATCTCTGCTGTCTCCAAAGCACAATACCTTCTGTTCCCTTCAGTGTATGAACTGGAAGCCGCCGCCATTGATGCTCTAAAGGAAAAGCTTCCCATCCCCATCCTCGCAATAGGCCCTGCAATTCCTTCGATCTCGGCTGGTGCTTATAAAGATTCAGAGGACCCTGTGATCAAATGGCTGAACGCCCAGACCAGAAGCTCTGTTCTGTACATATCGCAGGGGAGCTTCTTGTCGGTCTCCGGCGCTCAACTGGATGAAATTGCCGCCGGCGTGCAGATGAGCGGCGTGAAGTATTTATGGGTTTCGCGCGGAGAAACCGCGAGGGGCAACAATGGGGGTATGATTGTGCCCTGGTGCGATCAATTTAAGGTCTTGTGTCATCCCTCCATTGGCGGGTTCTGGTCGCACTGCGGTTGGAATTCGAGCAAAGAAGCGGCGTGTGCGGGGGTCCCTGTGCTGGCGTCTCCCATATTCTGGGACCAGACGACGGACGGGGAGCTGATCGCGGCGGCTTGGAAGATGGGGGTGAAGGTGCGGCGGCGGGGAGGAGAGGGGGACGGCGGGGGTTTGGTGACGAGGGAAGAGATATCGGAGCTGGTGAGGAGATTCATGGACTTGGAGGATGAGGAGATGAAGGAGATGAGGGGAAAGGCGAAGATGATTCAAGAAACATGC